GTTAGAGTGATTTTGCTGTGGCTCCACTGGACAGGAAACCCAAAGATGGTAACTGTTCTCTAAGAAAGAGACAAACAATCCTCTCATTTAGACTCAGATTTTTTTTTTTTTTTGGTCAAATGCTACTAACCTGAGATATTAGTCCTTGACAAAAGCCTTCCACTGATACCATTTGGAAGATACTGTTTCTGACAACATCAGTGGCAGATGTCAGTCTGGCAATGGATGGTCTGCCAGTGGCAGCAACAACTTGAGGGACATCAACAACACTGTCCAGGTGAATTAAGTACATCGACTGTTGGTAAGTCCTACTGGTAAGTTACAAAATTGTTCATGGAATTCACAGAAGACATGTAGCATTCAGGCAAACAGTCTTTCCTTAGGTGTCAAATCAGGAGGATTGATTCTTCCCAGTTTCCTTTCCATAAAAAATGTCAGGCTTTTGAAATTATCGTGACTGGTCTCAAGGGTTTGATCAGTCAGAGCTACCACATGCTGCTGCTGTCCTAATTAAACTAAACTCCACTGGATCCATCCTTCCAAAGCCTTGCTGGGTGCATTTGAGCAGTGCTTCCCACGGTCATATGTATGAATTTGCATGTTGGCAGGATGGATAAGCGTCTCCTTTTTAAAGACAGCCTCAAGCTTTTGCTTAAAGAGGCTAACACTGCCACTAGCAACTAGGAAATCCTGGCAGATAGTCCACATGAATATCTCTTTCTATATTTGCGCAATGTCAAGCACACTATCAGCACTGAATAAATAATAATCATAGAAACCTGGAGTCAGCCAGGAAATAGCTGTGAATGAGACATTCATATTTTAAAACTCAAAACTGCAAAATTATCTTGTTATGATTCTGGGAAAACTTTTCTTTTCCTTTTTCCCTGTTGTTTTCCTAAAGAAGAAGAAATGCTAATGCTGCTGCTGAAGGTACAAAAAAAAAAAGTTTACTTGGTCCCATATTACAGAATTACACATCTGAAGTGTCCTGCCTGCTTAATACATAAAATCCCCTCAAGGAACAAAATGAAGAACAGTCCTAATTTTAATCCAAAGAATCCATTTCTAACTGAAAAAAAAAAAAAATTAGAAATGGAATATGAATGTATTATATGGGAGAAAGAGGGAGAGCAGCTGAAAAACAGTTTCAACAGACAATCTTGTTCTTGATAATGTCTGGACAAAGTCAACTTTTTTCTAAATATGATTGAAACTCCATGTTAAAAGGGATTTATATGGTCATAAATCTTTGAAACAATGAGCAAAATTCATGGGGAATTCAGTCTCCAGCTCTATAGAAACAATAATAAAGGGCAACTCCCTTTGGTGAAACAAGTTGAATTTGGTAACTCTTGTTTAATTCAGACTCTTGACAAACATTCAGGGTTGCTCTTTCTTCACAAAAGAATCAGTTATGTCTCCTTCTCTGTTGAGGTATAGGGCTCCTATAGCATGCTAAGGGTATTTCAAGACTGTATTTTTATGGTTACAGATGAGAAGAAACAAATGCTTAAGGTACTTTAAAATCTGCTTTTATAACTGCTGCCAGGGATACACGTACAGACATTTTTTTCATGTATTGGTCATCCTTAACAGAAATACAATGCCTCAGTATAGCCAAATTGCAATTAAGCTAGTCCAGAAGCATTTGTCAAAAGATATAATGGCAAGGATTATAAAGGAGAAGAATAAACTGGAGACATAGAATGCCAAAAATCACCATCTGCTGAGATGATGGAGTAGCATGCTCAAAGCTGTTAAGGTGTTACTAGAGCTGTTGTATGTTGCAACATTAAACAGTTAATTGCAGTTCATGGGCTTTAAGTAAAAGGACTGGGGACTGCTTTTTACCATAGCAACCACAAAAAAGAAATCTCTTAAAGCATGTATGCAAGTGCGCCAACAAAAAAGCAAAGAAAATAAATATATTTGGAATTCAGCATTTAAACTATAATTATTTGAAGAAATTCCTCTTTCCAAATTTACATTCAGAGTATCCTGGAGAGAATAAGACATTCATTCCAAAATTACCAAAAATCTTTCCTGAGGGTTGAGAAGATACATTAGATTCTGTATCTTATCTCACTGACAACTGTTACGATGACTCCTGATGCTTAGGTAAACAGAGAAGGGAAGAGAATGTATAGAAAAGAAAGGAAAACTTCTAGCATCTCATTGATGCATGGCCACTTGTGCTGCAGGCAGGGTACGGGTATAAGTGAATCGGTCAAGATCACGTGTGGTCTATTGTTTACCTTTTGCCACTCCAACCATTTCTGTTGTTTGCTGAGGACAGTCTATTTGTGCTCTTTTAGCATGAGAAGCAAGTTACGGTGACAACATTTCTGATTGTTTAATCCCAGGTCAGGTCAAGTTTGAGAGAAGGACAGGAGAAAAGGAAAGTAAAATGACAGTGACATCATCACCATTCTTTAAATATTAACACATGACATTTTGATACAGATGGAACTTCTTGTCCCTGTTCCCTTTTGAAATAAAATGCTGATGAGTTCAAACATCTTTCCAGATGTGGTTCAGTTTTGATGGAACAGTTATTTTGATGTATGATTCTTCTGAAGCCTTTACAAGGGCTGGATAGCTGTAGGAGCAGCAGATTAGGGAGGCAGCCCAGCAAACTACCTGGAGCAGTGATCTAAAAGGTGAGATAGGTGGTTGAAGAGCAAGGAGGAGTGAGAACGAGGGAGGTCCTGCCGGTTGCTGTACCCAGAGGATACACCGAGGGCAGGAGACAATAGGAAGGATTGTATTTCACCAGCCCTGAACTAACTAAAGGTTTGAATAAGGAAATGTTTTTAAAACATCTATGGTAACTGCTGAAAACAATTATGTCTGTGGTATCTGCCAACTCTCATAATTATCTGCTGTTGTTTTAAAAGTCTGTATGGGAAATTTTGCAAAATCTAGGACCAATAATCCCATAGCTGACATAGCATGCTCTTAGATGCTTACACCACAAATGTAGTGTGAGAACTGAACAGAATAGTTGGCTACATTAAGATTCAGATTGACAAAGACAGACTGAGGGGGTTTTGTCAGCTGATGTAAAAATTTCCATAGGCAACAATATTAAACCCTAAATAAATGGAGGAACTCACCCACATAAGGAGCACTTTCAGGACCTAGAGATGCCCTTTGAGTTTTCCCTCTACAAATCCAGAAGACCCATGTTTATGGCTTCATCCACCCATAAGTTCTGAAACAAGACCATTCCTAACCCCTCCAATGTAGACTCATCTATTTCAAGGAATTCATACTGTAATGCTATTAAATGTTGTGTTTATCATGGGGCTGTTGTTAGGTCTTTTCACCACCATAACTCACTCTGTTTACATACAGCCTCTAATGTCATATTTGTATTTGTTTATAACAGTATGATGTAAGTTTTGGTCCATTGGTTAAGAAAAACTTTAGAAATATTTAAAAGTGCCCAACTCTATTGTGACATGAACACAATTCAATAAAATGCCACTGCTTATGCTACTAATAGATTTGACTGAGTTGTATCATTGCGCTAATTATGATGACGCATGAGGGCACAGAAAAAAATGCTCCACTGTTCTTGTAAACAGAAAACACCTCTTGCCATAGAGAATGGACAGTCAAAGTATGCTTAGACAAATAGTCTTCCATGAGATTTTTCAGCCCACTATACATAATGCCTTCTGATTTTGACTACCTTCCTGTATCACAGGCTGTAACTGTAACAGTATTTTGAAGTCACTAGTAGCTGCAATGCCAAGAGGAAAAAAAATGTTCTTAAGGCAGAAGAAAAATAGGCATTACATTATCAGATTATTATAGCCTTTGACTGTAAATATGAATGCAAGTAAAAATGTAAGAGCTCAGGTTTGGTATATGTGGAATAAGACTCCAGTATCACACAAGGAAGAAGACAAGTTTGTGTTTAGTAACTTGTTTGAATTTGAGCATTTTAATTTTTTATTATTATTGTTATTGTTATTACTATTATTCAGCATAATTAAACACAGACACGTTCGAAGTCTTTTGAAGGAAAAGCATTCTTTTAATCTGTCAATTAAAATATTTGGAAAACAACAGCCAGTTCTGGGCTATAATCTTGCATCAAACAAACAGGTATCTGAAGTTGAACTACAAAATATTCAGATTATAATGTTATAATGATTTTTAGTTAATTTTTCCCCTAAACCAGCATTGTTCACTTTTCATCAGTCTTGTAACTTTTGCATATACCAGATGTCACGTGCTGAGTATCTACAAAACAAGACTTGATTCAACACACAGAGCTGCATCACTGGAGGTTATTAGCCTGTTAAAATGCTTTATGGCCATAGATGTACAGAGATTTTCTTAATCTGAACCTGGCAAGTTGCAATCCTAGCTCCTATGCATTTCAGAAGTGTGCACCCTTCATAGGCAACATGGGATATTTTTAATAATGTCTCAACTTTTATTTTGTCATCTTGACTAACTTGTTTATCCATTTAACCCCAGAGTATCATTAGTACTGTGTGCTTACACATTGTCTGGTTGAAGGAAATAGTGCCTTAGGAACACTCAACAGAACATAGGTTTCCAATAAATAGACTATCAAAGAACAACCTATTTATATCATCAAGAGGAGGATCTAATTAAAAAATTCATTAGATCGGTGAGACCATAACTGAGGTCTACTCACATGTGGTCTCTGCAACCATATTGCCTTTGTAAAATGTCGGGTGAAGAGTCTGATGACAGAAGCGTAGGGTGGCCTGTGAGACGTTTTGAAGGATGACAGTATCAAAATGTCTACAAAACAATCTCTCATTGCATGTAAGCCAATGCTTAAATATCAAATATACTTTTTACTTCAGTTGCCTTTAGTTGTTAGGCACGTTACTCACTATGCCCAAAATCCTGCTAAGGCCTTTGGGATCCATTTGAACTGAATACAGAATTTGCAGTGCTTATCAGAAGATACTATCTTTGACTCTTCCAGGTTGGGATGGAAATCTTACCAGGACAAAGGTCCTTGCGAAGTTAGCACATCGATGCGAGGAGCTACAAGCGACTTCCCTGTACAATAGACGAGACACAACTGATTTCTTGCACTCCACTTCCAGCCAGAAATACAAGACGAACAGGCTTGCTTTCTTCTGCGATTTCAACATGTCTGCTTCCTGTATGGGCTGGAAATAGGACATACCATAACAACTGTCAAAACATTTCAGAACCTCAAGCAAGGTGTAATCAGAGCCGGCTTCTGGAAGCAGCGAGGGCTTGGGGAGCCATGCAAGTGGGCTGGGCCCTCTCTGCTATCAACCGATTTAGGGCCCAAACATGACCTCCACCAAAGGAATCACAGTTTGACCCTCACTCAAACCTCTCATCTCGGCAGCCCCAAAGTTTCAGAGCCGCGCTGAAGTAAACTTGAGTGTCTCCTGAATGGTGAGGGACAGTCTGTCCAGGCTGAAATCTTTATTTCAATGTTTGAGCAGACCTTGGGGTGAGCCCCCTCAGCCCACCCAAGCAGACCGCCTGGTCCTGCCAGGGACAAGTCCCCATTTACAGTGGGGATCAGCCAGCTGCTGGGAAAGGGGGACAGCCTGTGCACCAGCACTTGTGGAAAATGGCGGAAGGGGAGGCAGGCCCCCACACTGAGGGAAAGGGGCCTCCAGCCAGGACCAGGGCAAGGCTGGGAAGGATTGCTGGCTTCCCAGGCAGAGGCAGAGGAGAGCTGGCTGCTGAAAGTGGGGGAGAAGGAAAGGGGGCTTCCCCCAAGCAGGTGAGGAAGCGTTTAGAGAGAAGAGGGCAACTCCAAACAGCTTTGTGAGGAGAGAGGCAGCTCGCTGGTGGGAGGTGAAGAGATGACTCAGGGCTGGGAGAGAGGCATGGGAGAGACCTGTCCTCCACCGAGGGAGGCAGGGAAAAAGAGATGCTCCTAACTGCAAAGCAGGGGACAAAAAACAAGGCAGGGCATATGAAAAGACATGGTAGTGTTTGGTGAGGCAGCTGGGCCCAAGTGGGAGGGTGGCGAGTGAGAGGCCGGGGAGCAAAAAACAGGCCCCAAGATGGTGCCTCAGCCGAGTGACCTGGTGGGAGATGAAAACCCACCCTGCAGTGTTAGGGTAAAAGTGACAGAAAAGAGGGAACAAAATTCAGAAAATCGAAGAGTTTGGGAGAAAGAAGGATACAAAGAGGAGAAATATGGCATCTGTTGAGAAAGAACAGAAGAAAATTGATTATGATACGGTGAGAGAGACGCAGTAAGTTGCAGTTGTGTTGTGTGCTGCCAACACACACAAACGTGGCTGGTGAATGGAAAGTTATAATATACATTATTCAGCAGGGCAAATTTAATTTTTAATGAAAGTATATTTCTATGCCTACCTCATGAGAAATGTGTGAAGATCTTTGGGGACCTGTGTTTTGTGGTTTTCGTTATTCACACAGGCATTGTGAGAGAGCAAAGCTTAGGAACATAGCGTGCTCTTTGAATGCAGACTTAATACTGAGGCAAGGTAACTTTCTCCATCCCCAAGTGGTTTTCTATCTCAAAATCTGAAGAACTTTGTCATGTCTTTCAAAAAGGCAGGGAAGTCCTACAAGAACTTTCTACTTTTCTGTCCCAACTGTATGGTTAAGAGCCTTCCTCTAGACTCTGGATATGGCCTTCAAAGATATTATTGTTGCTGTTATTTACCAAGAAATTGTTTCAAATAAAACAAAACAGATAAATATTTAATAAGTAAAATACAAGTGATTCGCTGCACCAGCGATAGATACACTTAATTTTAAGAAGCAGTATGAAACATACATGGACCGTGTTTTAAAACAACTCCCCTGTAATATTTCCTGAGTACCTGTCAATAGGAGGAAATTGAATTTTAGTCTGTCAAGTACTCTTCGACCTGTCGTTCCTGTCTCCCATCTTCCCAAAGAGCCACACTGCTAAGAATCCACCCCTCAGTCTTCCACAGTGAATGTACTCCCCTGACCTGGTCTAACCCTCGGTTTGTTGCCATAAGTCCACCTGATGAAGGGCTAGACCAGGGACCTTGGGTAGTGTGTTTTAAGAAGTGAGTTTGAGATGGAGGTTTCATACGGGTTGTATCATACTGCTGAGAGGTGTTTGGTGGAGGCTGGGACATGGGGAACGTTCTCAAGGGAGAGAAAATACTGGAAAGGAAGATGGGTCTGAACTGAACTCCTAAGGGACTCCTGGCTGAAACCTGAAACTGTTGCAGAAAAAAATGAAACTGTTTTGCTTCTTACAAGCAATTGGTAAGTCCCCGTGTCCAGTGGAGATGCATGTCTGCATTGTACAAAAGCAGTCCTATGATACACTGATAGTTACCATTACTGGCTTTGGTATCAGGAACACTCCAGCTATGGTAATACAGTAGATAAGATAAATTATCCTCTTGAAAAGCAGGATAAATTAGCTGCAGTACAGTGCCATGTTAATGCATCTAGATTACAACCAATACTTGAGCAAAATTGTTTAGAACAAGCTTTTAGACACTGGAACAGAAGGACATGCAATTTATTTTTTCACAGTGCTTGCGTAACTCTCTTGGGTTTGAAATGTGTAGTAACTGTTGATTTCTACCTCTAGTTCATGGCCTTTTTTTGGTAGCATTTCTTCTTTAAACTTTCCAGACTTCACTGTAATAAGTTATCTTATTGTGCATTTTCTGTTCATAGATCTGTGCGGTATACCTCTCTTTAGATTTCCCATTTTATCTGATCAGTGCTGCTGTAGTGTTTCAAGCATTGTTTTGTTTTGGGTGAAGCAATTTGCAACACTTGTTTGAGAAATACGTTTTTGTCAGGATACAAGAGTATCTCGCTTAGAATTTCTTTTTCAGTTCTCCATTTTTCTGACTGTTCTTTTTAAAGTGCTGGCTTCTTTGGCTAAGATGGAACCAAAAGCTTAATTTAGTTTTTTTTCTTGTGTTATTCCAGAGGACATTAAAATAGATTTCTCTGCTATAACTGTCTATTTAATACAATTTTCTTGCTCAAGTCTTCTGTGATGGCACTCACATGGTGTTTGAGACAGCTTCTGAAATTATGAAGAGATCAGAAATAGCACAGGGACTGAACTTCTGGCCAGAGTGGCTCTAGGGAGACTGGCTCATAGTGGCTTTTACATTTGCCTTGCTAAGTGCTGAGTTGTTTTAATGGCCATCCTGTATGCATCTTTTTGCAGAAACCTAGACATAGGACTTCTTGAGTATCTGGTTTGTTTAATGAATTTAGCTACTCTAATTATCACACAGCAGACTAGGATGCTACACTGTATTAAAAAAAAGTTTCAGTACCAGTTTCGCCAGAGAAAGGCAGCGCTATCTATCTGGTGGGTTTTGCACCTTCTCAATACAAACTTCTCTGGTATCTTTTCCCCTGAGGTGCAGCTGTAGTATTAAAAAGAAACTTAATTTATACACTGTGGAAAGAGAGACTACAGATAGATAATGTACAGGTTAAAATTAGCAAGAGTGTAAAAGTTCACTATAAAAATAATTTGCACACAAGTCAACATAAATGAGTTTTATACTTTCTCAACGTCCTGGAGGAGGATTGAAGTTTCTGTACTTCTCTGACTAACAGCCAGCTAGTTTGCTGGTGCTTTTCTTATGCAAATTGCATCACTGACTATCTTTAAGAAAGTCTTGTGATTCATTTACTGTTCCATTCCCACCAAAGTAGGTACCTGGGTTCATAAAACTGTCTGCTATGCAATAATTTCTGCTGTATAGGATAAAGCCACTATTGTGGCAAATCCATTGCAAAATAGGATCCTGAGGAGTACTAATGAATCTCTTGCCAAACTGCTTAAATCATAACGACTTTGTCACATGAACATCATATGTTTATAATCTTGTTATGATACTGAAGCCTTATACATGTGGGTTTTGTAATACTTTTGTAGCCAGTTTAAAGCCATCTGGCACGCTTATTGCCAGGTATACGTGATTTAAAGCAGAGGGTCACAAATTTTTGTTGTTGTTGTGACTACACATGCACCTTCAGCAAACTCATGATGTTTTCTCAGTGTATGACAATGGAGTTGAAATGGAATCATGTAATTATTTATTAGTACATGGTGACTACATACGATGTTCCCGATAGCCACATGTGAGAATTGCTGGGTTAGTTTGTTGTCTCTTAACACTTAGATCCTGAAAATCATATAAATGTTGGATTGATCTCCACATAAGCCAAAGACTGATACACAGCTTTGGATCTCTTCTAAGTGTCATAACTTTTCCTGTGCTTTTAAAAAGCCCAAGTTTTTAACTATAATTCTAGTAAGTAGATATAGGAACATATGATTTTTATCCCCTGGTTACTTAGCAGAAGGCTTGCATTTGGAGATTGTCTTATTAAAAGACCAGTGATATATGGATTAAAAAGATTAGAGTTAAGGTTTCATCTGTATTTTGCTGCTTATTAATTAAAGGCCTTAATTTGCTTATAGTTTACTTTTTTAATTCCATGTTATGATTGATCACTGTAGTATTTAGAAGCTGCAACCAAGATCAAGACTGCATTATATTAAATTCTGAAAAACCACATAGTAAAAGGAAACCCCTACTTGGCAGTTGAAATAAAACAAGATCCACAGGGACCGGGGAGGTAAAGAAGTACCTTTCCTGACTGACTTAATTATTTTTCTGTGGCAGAGTGACTTGTTCAAGGTCACAGAAGACTAAAATTTCTGTATTGGTGAGCAGGTCAAAAAGAAACAGAGGATGTTTAATCTTTGAATTCACGTGCATTTTTTTTTTACTAATTTCCTATGGAAATAAGTCTTCTGTGATCGTGTTTGTGCCTTTCTCTCTTTTTTTTCCTCTTCACCCATAAGTTTTGGACCCATTGATTAATATAAATAAATTTGAAAGAGGAGTAGAAGTCTTAAATTAATTGTCTTTCTACAAATTTTGTGAAAAGGAAAAGGGAAGAAACCATCTCAATGCCCTTGCTATGGTAAAGCTGCAGCCCGAGTTCCCATTCACAAGCAAGAACTACGTATTCTCAGCCACGGGAAAAACTTCTGTCATGTCAGATTGGCTCTCTCCCTATTTCGCTACAGGGCTCTAGAGCGTAAGGCACAGTTGTCCACCCTACATACACTAGTTTGATTTGGCTCCAATCTGGAGTGAAATAAGGAATGTTCTTAGGGAGGAGCCCTGGCTCAGGAGGGAGGCTGCTTTTCTGCAGCTTCAGGACTTGCACCCTACAAGCCAATGGAGCCAAGCCAACCTGTAGTATGCTCAGGGATGGGGTTCATTCTTCGGTGCAGACTGTAGAGGTAGCATAGACACAGTCAAAGCAGAACTTGGCACTTTTCAAACAAAACACGCTGATCGTTGGAAAGCCAGGCATCCCTGTTCTGATGATTACAGAACCATTTGTTTAATGATAATGTTGTTCTTGTATATATATGGCAGGGAGAAGGAAGAATTCCTCTGGGAGGGCTTTAGAAACCTTTCTCAAACTGTAAGTCACTGGATTGTTTCTGTCTAGGAAGGAATTGGTACATCTTGCACCTTTGATTTTATGCTAATTTTCCTTCATACGGTCTGTTTCTGTTAGAGCCTAGACTGTAGTTCTGCAGTGTGTCATGGTAAGCAGCATGTAGATTAATGCCATGTGTTAAAGTCGGAAAGTTTCTTCGCTTTTTTTGCTTGGTTTGTGGCAGCTTGTATTAAATAGTTTCCCCCTCCCCTTTTTTCTCAGCTGTGTGGTTAGGAATTGCTCTATTGCTTGTGTATCCTGTGGCAGTGTTTAGTATTAGTTAGATGTTTGATGGGGATTTCCTGGGTGCTCACACATTTGCCTTTTGCATCTTCCCTCCAGATACATGTCTTGGGTTATCACAGAAGTGTTATGGTATAAGCTGTGCAGTGTAACTTCATTAATTATGAGCCTATTTGGCTGCTGTCAAGACTTTTGCTCGACTATCTTGCAGTGAATTTGAGCACAAGCGCCAAATATGGTTGACTATTAACTTCACACCATTTATCATTCCTCCTAAGGAGTTCCATCTTGCTGTTCCTGACTACAGAGTTTTATGTGTAGTGAGCAGGGTTTTCAACCTCAACATAAGCAGTTTGTGTCTACTCTTTATTTTTTCTTCTTCATTGATGATTATGTCTCCTTATAATTAAAAACATCAATCACATCCATTCCCAGCCGAATTTTGCTAAGATTAAGTCAAGCTCTTCTCATATGATACACTCTTAATTTCTCTGATCATTCTGATAACCCTTTCCACACTTTTTTGTAGGAAGATGAATTTAAACTGGTGGCTAGAACTGTACTTAATGTTCCTGAACAGGTCTTGCAGGGCTTTGTATTATATCATGGCTACTCTTCCTCCTCCTGGAAATTGTGTGTGCAATGTATCTAAGGTCACACACCTTATGGGTGCTTCACGTTGGTTGCTACTAAGCCTGCTGCGACTGACTGGTTCTCTTTTGAGGCGTACTTTGGTGAGCTTTCAGCTTCTTTGATTGTTTCAATTGTGTTCCTGCAGTTTCTTGTAGCTAGTTACATGACCAGAGGCACTCTGGCCAGGCCACATGGTATGAAAGCTTTTAGGCTTGCCTCCAGGTATTAAGGATGGGACTTCCACCTACTTTTTGGAAGAGGTAAGAGTGTGAATGCTGGCTGTGTTTAATACTGCATCTGTTGACAGTGTATATAAGGCAAAGGGTGTTTGTCCTTTGCCCCAGGTGTTTGTCCATTTTAGCATTGTCAAGAGCCTGGTCTCAATGAAATTGTAAGAAATTTACTTAAATCCATGGTAGGCTCTAGCACCATATACCTCTTTGCAGGCAGCAGCGCTGACTTCAGCAACTCCTGTCCTGGCTCTCTGGCCACTGCTCCAACCCTTGAGCTGGCTCTAAACACCATTCTTTTTTTTCTTGAGCCTAGATTAATTCCATGCTCTGCTTCAGCGTTGCCCCACAACGGTTTGAGCCAGCAAGTGAATGGTGACAAAGGGTCTTAAATGTGTGGCAGGGAAGCGAGGCAGGACAGGGAAGGGGCCGGTTAAAGCCTACACCGCCACTCCGAGAAGTGTCTGTTGAACCATAAACTTCAATCGTCCGTACTCCTGCCGGGGCTGCACAGCTGTGGGAAAGATGCTGCATGGGGAGCCAGTGAGGCTGCTTAAATGAAACCAAGCCCTTCACCAGCGGTGTTTGTGTTTGGCTTAGTAAGTGTGAGCTGGAGCAACGGTCTTATGCTGTTAATTCCTGATGCAAATTAGGCAGATGGAGCACAAAAATTTTCAGTGTTCTTTCCTATTCTTACCTCAATGGAGAAATAAACGAAGAATGACACAGCCCTAGGATTAAATGAAAAGCGTGTACGTCCCATAAGTTAGGTACATGGAGATGAAAACCTCGGTATTATTTGAGAGGAGCGGGACCTGTGAGCGCAGAGCTGCTGTGCCGTAGCCTAGAACACCAAAACAAGAGCAAACCCAGCTGCAAACAGACGAAGCCTGTACTCACACACGGATTAGGGAGTATTTGGACAACAAAATGGCTGTGGTTGCGGTTATAGGTGATCCGCAGGGGCGCAGCTGGAGGAGGCCGGGGGAAGGGGGAGCCCCGACACCGCGATCCGGGGCCGTCCTCGGGCGGCGCTGGGGCGCGGGGGCCGTGCCGCAATTACCGAAAGCGAGTCCCAGGGACTTACT